TAAACAACCACCCTCTTATGTAGCGACTCTACTACTGTTTGAAAACCCAGGCAGGTCAGCATCAGCCTTGATCTTACAGTCAGTTGTTGAAAGATGCTATAACAATGCAGGAAAGAGGTAACTAGTATTTGAAGGCACTGGTCCACTACTTATCTCTGGGGTCAGCTGCTAGTGCTAACACTGATGTCTTGGGTGATAATGGCCAAGTCTCTGTAAATTCATGTCCATCAACTTGAGATAAAGTTTCTTTCTTACAGAAGTCAAAGCCCACTGACACACAGCATTTTGAGCTAATGCTGATTTTGTTCTGGTGCTGGGTCTTCTATGCCCTCACAAGAGCCTAGGAATACATCAGCCTTCCAGTTCAACATCAAACACCTCTGCTTGAAAAGCCTTGTTTAAAACTACCCTATAAAACAAAGACTTTTGCACACAGACATCTCACCCAAGAATTTGTGAGTATGATCTGTACATATTAATTTAAAACGGGTTATATCTGACTCTTCCCCCACAACTAATGCAAAACCTGTGAAGATGGCTGCAAAAAGTGTGAAGCAAGACTGACAGCCAGTAGTAAATGAAGCCCCAGTGCTCTCTCCTGATGGAATCATGTAGAGTGAGAGCCCTGCTCCGAACAGGACTAATTCTGTATCTGTAATGCAGCTACTATTTGTATTAGGTAAACACTATACAAAACACATTAGAAAACTCATCTAAGTGTTGATGTAGAGATTTACATTTCCAGCATGGAAGGAATTTAAGCCTGTAGTTCAAACTCCCACTGAAGTCAATGGAAATTTTATGTTTAGATACTTACCAAAATATAGTGTATTACCCCCACAGGTGAATCATGAGAAATGCTAGGTGTACTAGCCGTTATTTCTCTTAAGCATGAGTGTTACTTGTGAAACATTTTTTAAAAAAATTTTGCTGGCTGTGACATTTGAAAAGATTGTTCTTGGTGTAAGAAATGAGTAATCTTCTGTGGCAACAACATTTTTAGCTGCTGGCCTAAGAGAAGCCTGGTGGCTATAAAGAAAACTAAAAAAAAAAATAAAAAAAAAAATTCCTGTAAATCTAAAACTAAAGAAAGTCCTAAAGACATTGGAATAAAATGTTGTTTGAAACATGCCTCAGTATTTCTCAGACTTCAAAAGAAACACTAACTCCTAGAAGAGATCTGAGAGGCTGTGTTTCTTCCTCTCAGGAATCAAACTACAGAGGGAGGACTCAACAGACAACTTTCAGTAGAGCTTGCCCAAGAGACATTTGCTATTACTTCAGCCAAGGGTATTTGTTGTTAGGAAACTATGCAGAATTCAGCTAAAGAAAAATTAATCAGTCCCAACTAAGCCAAACTTAGCACCTAGTAATTTCTGGTTGGTAAAGATAATTAAATGTTTGTTTGTTTGTTTTTTTCCCTGTTCACTTGCATACACTAAAGGTAGCAGAGCAAAAAGCAAGCTATACATCAAACTGCTCAAAAATCCTTAGAGTTCTAAGGCTGCATTCTCCCATCACTTAACCAGGAGGAATTCTCTTGCAATAGACAGTGACAAAACCAGCACAAAGAAGATCAGATGCTGGCTCTTTATCTATAGCTGTCTTCAAAAGTGTATGTTTACTGACCAAAATCCTACCGTAAAGTTTCTGGTTTTGCAATTACTAGTTAGGAGGTCTCTGTTAAGCTCTTCATTCTGAAGACCTTTTCTATTTCATTCTCTCAAGGTGTATGGGCCTGTCACAGAGGAATGTAATTAACCATCCAAACCACGAGAGGACAGGCATGGTCAGGCCTGCTGTAAAACTCCAGAGGCTCTGTTTCTTGTAAAGGATAACTGCATCTACAGCCCTGAGGCAGTGTGTCTTACAGGAATTAGAAGTATGTTGCTTGTAGCCTTGCTCAGGCACTCATCCTCAGGAAGAACCTTGGGACACTGCATGGTAGAAGCTGCTGACCGATTGATTCACAATTTACTGAAATATCATTGTTATAGTAGCCCCTTGCTGCTCTTGTAGCTTGAACGCGACAAAATCAGTCACTGCTAACCTAAAAATTAAATATATATTCTTGATTCTGACAGCAAAATTGGATGGGGACTGGGGGAGGAAGAAAAGAGAAAGAGCAAGATATTAAAATGCTCACTTTGAAACAGAAAAGTCAATGATTTGGAAACCTTTGGCACTGTATTCAGAGTCTGAATATCCTCCTGCTGGCAAATCTATTCAACTCTGTCACCTATAAGCATTAAAAAAATCTGACTTTGTACAGTGCTCCTATTGCTCCTGCATGGCTACTCAGACTTCTAAGAAATCACAAAATAGCAATTACCAGAGTAGGTTATCGTCATTCCACTACCAGAAATGTTATCACGCTCTCTTTTCTGAATGATCATGCCTTCTAGACAAAGCCCAGAGCAGAGTATGAGATAGCAAAGTGGATTTAGAAATATGGGGAAAACACAGCTGCATTTGGTTGCCAATTCTGACATTTGCTACCAAATAGCAAGGAATGGGCTTTGATGCTGGAGATCCTGAGTGAATGTACAGCAGAAATATGGAGCCTGATCCTTTGCTGGAGTGAATACTTTGAATTTTGCTGTTTTTTCCAGATTGAGGATTGGGTCTCAAAAGCACTCTTGCTATCTTGTAAATGACAAGATGGAAAAAGTTGATAGTTTCAAGGGAAGTGTTTTGTTGGGGGGGGGGGGGGTGTTGTTTTTGTTGTGAGTTTTTGGGGTGTTGTTTGGTTGGGATTTTTTTAATCTGCAGCAAATGTTACTACTGCTTCAACTTCTTTGTTTATTTTCAGTCAACCAAGGAATAAAATTAATAACTCAGTAACCAACCCATTTCTTCTTTCTACCAGGCAAAGCTTTGAAATCCTGGATGAATTTCTGCACTTTTCTCAAATTTACTAAGTTTTGCCCAGTTAGGAACAACTGTGCTTAGCTCTCAATAAATGCAAAGATTTTTATTTTACTGTGGGATTTAAAGGCTTTGTCTCTCACTATGTAGTTCACACTGCTATGTGTCTTTTTATGTCAGTGTTTCAAACAGGTGCCTATTGCTATAGGACATAGGTCCATAACTAGCAGTAGTGAAGACAGAGGCCAGTATTTTAAGATTTTTTCCAAATGAATACAGAAGGCACCTGAGAAACAGCAAATGATACAAAATCACATTACAATGCTTTTTAAAGTGACTACCAAAGTGAGGACAAAAATATGAGTTAGAAGCACAAATACTATCTTTTAATGAAACTTGTACTCCAAACTTCCTTTATACTGAAAATCCCACCTTACACCCTGCTTGTGAAGTGTGTAAAGAAAGAGGGCTGTTGAGGAGCAAAGAAATTAATTTTCTTCCTCTTAGATTTCATCTCTCTGAAAAGTGCATCAAACTCTTTCAAAGATAGGCTGGAGGGAGAAAGGGGGAGAGGGAGAGTGGAGAAGAACATTTGGAACTGTAGCTTCGCATCTTCTTGAGGGGAACAATTTATCAGAGCTGTGGAGCTGTCAGTCCTTGACATGATAAGGAATAACACGAAATGAGTAATGTTTCCTCCAAACCTAGCTCCTTTAATTACAAGCCGCTTCCTTGCAGGAGAGAGACAGAAGATGCGGAAACACCAATTTCATGCACTTGTGCCTGAATAATGTCTCCGTGCTGCCTTTTCCAGATGGCAACCTTTTCACTGGAGGAACTAATGATGTGGGCATATTTAGGGAAAAACCAATAACGGAGTCTTTAACCTTCAACAGCAAAAAGCATGTTGTACAAAATGTTCCTTGGGATACATTTACAAATATCAATTACATTGCTCACTGAGGTGTAATCAGCTGTAATAATCAAAATTAATTTTAAAAAATAATTAAACAGACCCCAGGGCAAATAGTTGATGCTCTTATAGTATGACATCACAGTCTACACATGTACTTGGGAAGAACTTGCTCACTCTGTAAGCAGCAAAGTGATTTTAAGGAATGAGAAGGATGCTGTGGCATGCTGAGAAAAAACTTGCAGCTCAGTAAGGTAGTGTCAGACACATTACTTGGGTATCATAGCCTTCCTGATCAACACACCTGGAAGTGAACCAGTCATCACTGGAGATAAAGCTGCAACCTGCTATAGCTTGAGCTAGAGGGTTAAGACTCCCTAAACCAATGCTGTAACAGACTTACTGTCTCCTCAACAGGAGAAAAAAAGACCTTACTATGTTCAGCACTGCAATAACACAAGCTCACTCCAAAGCTCTGAATATTCTGCCAATACACTGCTGCCCTACCCTATACCTAAGTACTCTAGTCCTAACACACTTAAACAAGTAACATCTAACTGATTCTTTTTATTTGTATTCTCAACAAATGCCCAGCAAAAACATAGAAATGGCCCCCTCTCAGCAAAACAGAAGCTTACACATGGAAAGGGTAGTTCAGCTGCACTGCTGGCAGTAGGAATGCTGCATACACTCCAGACCCATCCCTGGTTTATATAAGAACTTGTCTCCTTGTCAGTTAAGGCTAAACTGAAATTTGGACCTTTAATACCTCATATTGAGTAGTAATTGAAAGGACAGTACTATGGAAATACCATAGTAATTGTCTGAAGGAAAAGGTTTACATAAGCAATGTAAGTCAAAAGCACCAGGAAAGCCAGCATCTCCTCACCTTGCTCTGACCCAAACAGATCCCTGGGAGCACAAACACGAGTGCTTAGGTTTTCTCTTTCAAGACAAATAATTAGGCCTCATGCAAAAAGCATACATTAATATGTTACATATTAAGGCTGCCAACTGAAGTTCTTCAGAACAATGACTATTTCTTAGTGATTATTTCTAGCAGTCTAGAAAAGAAACCTTAACTGAAATAGGTGTCTAGTTTACAATGGAACATGCCAATAGAGACACTCAGAAACCTCCCAAGCCCAGACAAACTCTCCAGAGCCATATCAAAGGCAGATAGGTGACAGAGCCAGAAAAGACAAAGAGCATCAATTACCTCAGATTTGTGTGTCATTTCCTTTGTGTTTCGACCAGGCATCAACTTAATAGCTGAAGACAGGCTTTCACTCCAGGAATAGTGCTTGATCTGTGACAGAGTTGGCCCTGCTTTATTCTGGAGAAGCTTCTTTTCAGATGCTGTGGGCCAGAATAGACAAAAAAGCTTGTAAGACTTGAAGTTGAGCTTGTGGGAAGGTAGAGAGTTTGTATCCCCATTACACAAAACACAACAACATAGCAGTGTCCCACTCCAGCTGGATTGTCCTTCTGTTTATAAGAGGAGCATTGAATTAACATGTACAACTCAAGTCTTTATTTAAAAGCCTCACAGCACTCTGCCATAGATCAGTTTCATTATATATGCAAGAACTTTGAATCCCTGCAACACTACACACATTGGGATGCACTTCTTCACCCAAATATCTTCTCTTTTAAATTCTCCTACAGGATACAATTGTTTAAGGAGATTTTTGTTTCTTGCAGTACAGCACAAGCCCTACAACATCACCAGATGATTACAGAAGGGCTGGATCATGACACAGAAAGCAATCACAATCCTGAATGAAAGAAATTGAGAATCTGATCTATCTAGCATACAATGTGCAGAGGAAGGTATAATAAGGGAATCAGTGTCTTCCCATTAAGCACTGCATTTAGTGCAATGTCTTTGCTTACTACAATGAGTGTTCCATAAAAGAACAGAGACCTATCAAGTGCTGCCAAGCTTTTGTCATAATTTCTTCCCATAAAGGAGTGATCTCTGTTATCTTCATGTCCCTTTCTTTGTCATTTCCTTTTACAGAAAGATCCATCTTGTAAGTGTCCTCCAGAGCCTGCCGCCTCTGAGAAATGAGCTGCTTCCAGATGATTTCTACCATTCTCAGAATCTCCTGATGGACTGGGAAACAAAAGAAACTACAAATGAAGAATCATTTTTTGTGTAACAAGTAAAGCAGCAGATAAAGCAAAATATCTCATTTGGAACAGCACTAGTCTAGAGTAACTGCTGGCACCAGTGGAATTCATCCATTTTGTCTCTTGCCTGCATAGGTTCTAAGCCAGACTAGTTAGTCTAACACACAAAACAGCAGGACATTTCTTCTACTATATTTCAGCTCCCTAAAAGAAACAAGTAGGAGTGACAGATGATTCTAACTGGTTTCTGCCTTGGAAAACTATCATATCAGCATTTTGATTGTCTTATTATCATATATAGAATGCTAAAGCACATAAAGGACATTCCTTTATGTTGCCAAACGCCATTAGAGACAGTGGGGGAAGGTAACCAAGTCATGAAACAATTTGACACAGCAACAGGATGCAGTATAAGGAAGTGCTAAATTGTTTTGTTGTATTTCCCTGCAAATCAGATTTATTTGGTTGCATCTCATCCAAGTCAAAAAACCCCATTACTTTGCTGTAGCGTTCATCTGATAACCCCCCCACTGAATTCAGCCCAAAAATTTTTGTGTTTCTCTTAAAGAGCAAAATATTTCTTCCTGTGTATAAAAAAGAAACAAGATCTATATAGGCCTTGAAAAAAGAAATAGAGCTACAAATAGTATGTATCTGGGCACTGATACTTGCCACATCATGGGGAAGAGATCTCCAAACTGATATCCATTACTTCTTAGGATGTGGGGTGTGAATTTTGAATAAAAATGTCTGATGCCAACACAAGCCATTTTTAGCACAACCTTCCTTCCTTTATGTTGTGCCTGCGGTGCATACACACCAAAGAGGCAACCAAGTAGCACTTGCACAAACTGCTCTGATAGCTGTTTAGGCCAGGCACTTTTGTGCTCCATAAACCAAAGACAACATGCATCATAAATTACCATCATCTGGAGTAGGCAGGCTGCCCTTTTCCTCTTCACTGGGTGCAAGGAAAATTTGGTGATATGAAGCCAGCTTTGGTTTTGCACCCACCCCAAAACCTTCCGGACAGCTGTGAAAAAAAAAAAAGAAAGAAAAGAAGGAGGGCATGTGAGGAAACAAGACTTATAACAAAACTGAGGATAGTGAAAAAGCTACAGGTATTTCTACACATCCAGTCCTACTCGATTAGTTTAGTAGATCAATATTCCCAGGCTCGAGGGCTTACATCACCCACATGATACTGCAGGTCTTAGTGGGAACTAATCCACTTCCAGTCTGGTTTTCAAAGTCAAGGAGCAGTCACCAAGATCCTATGGATCACTCTGTTGTAAATGCCTTATCCCTGCACCTCTTGGTGTGCTTGTATCCACTGCTCATCTCAACTAGCTGGAACACGGGGCTGTACTGATGTAGACAGACTGCATCCAGCTTTCTTGCACCTCCCTTGAGCATCTTGTATGCCATATCTTTGCTCTGAATTTCTTTACTAGAGGTATCTCCCCTTATGTGGGAAACACTGTCTTACCATACCTTTCACCTGAACTGCTTACTGCTTATTTAGTCAAAGTTCTTTGCACCAATGATTGTTCATTCAGTTTATAAAGCACTCTACAAAAAAAGCCACAAACTTTGGCACCATGAGATTAGTAACATGTAGATGTGATTATAACTGAGAACGTCATGATGGCCAAGAAGAGTTAGTGTTGCTTTGGGGGTGGGGTATGTGTCAGGCAATTTACCAGTCAGTAGGTAAAAGACACCAGGAATTTCAGTACAGTAGTACTACTTACAAGAGATGCAATAGGCTTAGTTAAGGCATCCAGACAACCTGGACTTGGTCACAGAAGTGCTGTCAATAATATATATATTATATATAGCCACTAGAAACATACTACATTATTTCAATTGTAAACAGCCACTACTACATGGGCAAGTCAAATCTCTTGGGTATGCAAAGCTGCCATTTTTATTTCTGATTTTCTTTTAAATACCACAGTTCTGATTCCCTGGATTTACTGTGTTTGCCTTTTGGATAACACTAACATTTCTGTTATTTATTTTTTAAAAAAATGTTTCTTCTCTTTCTACATATAAGCAATCTTTACCCCATCTCAACAGTTTTGGCCTGGAAATGATTATCTGACCGGAATAAGAACAATCAAGAAAAGACCTCAGGAAGTGCTGCTCATTTCTGATGTGATATTGTATTAATGGATTCAATTCACACCATCTAAGCAGTACAGAAGGTTTTCATTGAAACAACAAACATCATTATGTGAATAAAGCACTAGCCAATATTTGCTTCTTTTTGCAAAACAGAGTTTCCAAAATAACTCCCCAGTTTACATCAGCAAGAGTACCTCCGACACATTACCTGTAGGAATAGCAAACAGAGTGGGTATAGATGTTCTAGCCTCATCCAAGTCAATGGCAAAACTCCTAACTTCAGTACAACCAGGACTTTGCAGCTCAGATCCAAGTAACAATAACCATAACAGAAAGATACACAAGATCCATGCATAGTTTTATATATGTTTTAAATATATCCACACAAGAATAGCTGCTGGATCAGAAAAAATGATCTTCCTCAATTAGCCCATGTGGATGTCTCAGAGAATGGCTACCTGCATGCATGTGGAGTGATTCTAGCCCACATCCCAGGAAGATTTCTGGATTCTCATTTTAATCACGGGCTTGTGAGCAAACTCCACTGAAATCAGTTCAAGCTTGTTAACTGCAGTTACTACTCTGAAGTGAGTAAGCTGCTGGAAATGCTGGATGAGTAAAACAGACACCACACAGATGTTTTGGTTAATGAAGAATAGCAATTAAACCTATGTGCAAATTTAAGGGGTTTTGCTTAGACAAACATGCAAGCTTGTTTGGGTGCCTCTGAAACAAAACATCCTTTTTAAAATGAAAAAAAAATAGGTGTTACATTATTACCATCCACTGTGCCTTGCTTATTACACCCACAAACACACATATTAGCCTGCCTCTGAGCAATAGAGATGGTAGGAAATTTTCTGCTCACTAGTATTTCGTGGAAAAAACAGCTGCCTTATTGAAGAACAGTTTATCCCTTCCACTTTCTTGCTGAAAGACAATCCATTGCCTCCAAAATACTGAGCTAATTAGTAACCTTCCTCTCCTCAAAATTAAATGATAAAAAATTACATCAAAACATTTCTGTTGTTGCTTTTCATTTTTTTTTTTAAATGTATGAGGAAAACAACCATCTTTCCCCGAGTTGCTTTACTCTGCAACTTCAACAGACACCAAATCAGAGTGGATGGTTGCCCTATTTAAAACAGAAAGGTGCTTTAAACCCCCAGAGCACTGAGTTCAATGGGTCAAATGCTTGCTAAGATACAGTACATATACTACATCCAAAGTCCTCAGTCTAGCTGAATCCAGCTCAATCTCAGCTTCTAGAGATTCCCCAAAATGGATACTGCCTAAGTTTTGTGAAACCTCCCCCTTCCACCCACTCCCATAAATAACAGCATAGAGATGTAAACAAACGTTACACTAAGATGAACATTTTTTACCTGCCCGAATTCAGTTGGTAAAGGCAGTACATTAGGCAGACAACAAAATTACTATTTGAGTTGTAAGTTGCAAAAATAATGTCCCATTGTTCCTGCAGGACACTGAGAGTGTTCAGGACATTAAACTGTTCAGGCAGCGATTGTTGTGGTCTGGACAGGCAGTACAGGATGGCTCTGTTTAGACAGTTGTACAGGGCACTGAGGAAAACTTCCTTTTGAGAAACAGTGCTTTCTAAGACCTGTGAAAACACAAAACAGCAGAGTACTTGGCTTGCTCAAAGAACTCTCTCCCCAAGGATCCACTCTCCTCACTTCATTTAAACTACTGCAAATGTATTTCAGCAAAATTCCCCTGAACTACCTGTTAGATACAAATTCAATTTTTCTGTATTTCTGCTGAAGTCCCTGGAACTGTGGAAGAGATTAATTTATTCCTGTTCAGCAATACATACATAGCCAATACATAGTGGCACAAAAGAACTAGCTATCCCTTCTTTACGCTGCACCATCTAGCTCTGATTGTCATTTAGTGCCATTATGAGGTCATGCAAGAAAACAGGAATAATCACAATCACCAAACAGATTACAGCCATCTTCTTGAGAACTGCGGTATCACAACCTCAGTGTGAAACAGAGCACATTACAGTATGTTGATAACAGTTGGGAAAAATAATTCATGTGATTCACCCCCATAATCTGTTTGGCAGTGAAGAGCAGGATTTGCTTGGGGTCAGCAGCAAACAATCCGCTGTTCAGCTTCTCAACCAGCTTCTGAGCAAAATAAGCAATATTCATCATGGATACAGGTGCAGTTGTTTCTGAAGTGCCATGAGGATCACTGCTCCCTGGAGAGGATACAAGACTGTTGATTGTGCCAAAAGAAGCTGAGATGCAAATAAATGTGACCTGTGAGGTTACCAAAGCTGAGCAGGAACAGTCTCATCTCATGCCAGTGTCTCAGATGTGGGACATGCCTAAGAAAACTCTAGGTCTAGCAGAAATACCTTAATCAGACAGGAAATGACAGCTCCATCCTAAGGACAGAAGCAATCTCACTAAAATGCTATAATGAAGGACTTTTCCAACTAATGACTCAAAAAGGAGAGCAGCAACAACTAAGTTATCAGGGCTGTTTCCAGAAGCACTCAAGGATAAACCTAGATTTCTTTCTAAGTGCTCCCCTTCTAACGTTCAGAATCTGTTCTGGAGAGCAGCAACAACTAAGTTATCAGGGCTGCTTCCAGAAGCACTCAAAGATAAACCTAGATTTCTTTCTAAGTGCTCACCTTTTAACGTTCAGAATCTGTTCGCAAAAAGAGAGAAAAAGAGGTTTTCTAGAAAAATGGTAAAACTCTAGTAATTTATGCAAACTGACCTACAGCAGAAGTGAATGGACAGTCCAGCCTGCTGAGCTGGCCTGTCCTTCTAGCTACTGTTTCCAAACCTTTCTAGCAATTACAGCTACATACCAAATACCAGCTAGCTAATTATCTGATTCTCAACACTCACCTCTTGGTCTTGTTTTCCCCTCGCCTTGGCTGGTAACATGGAAGACATCCATAGCAGACAGCAAAACTTTTGTCTGAAAATGTCTCTTCTGCTCACTGGTAGCACCCTCTGGAGAAGCCTATATGGTGACCGTATACATATTAGTACAGCAGGAAAACAGCCACGAAATCAGACTCAAATTCACTTTCAGCCCAATTTAATTGGATCTTTGGCAGATTATGCCTGTCAAAGATTCAGATTCATTAAAAGTTTTGCTGAAAGAAGTGAGTAGAAATTCCAAGAGACAGTCAGTACTATCTGAGAGAATTTAAAATATCCAACATTTCCCTTAAACATGTAGGCACTGTGTTAGGAAGAGGAGGGGAAAAACAGCACAAAAAGAGCAAGGACAACCACTCCACCTCACTTGCACACTTCAGCCCTTGGTGTGGGCATATGAAACAGCTTCTGCAGTCTGAGAATTTATCCGTGACAGCTAATCCACAGTAACATGTAAATGCAGACATCTAGTGTACTCTGTGCAAAGACAACATGGCACCTATTATCCAGAGTTCAGCAAGAGCGCATGTCTGGACAGTTACTGGACAGCAGAGGAGATGGCAGAACCTCATACCCTAGCTGGGAAACAGGAAATCTTACATAGGTCTACACTCCCTAGCTGATAGCCAGCACAGTTCCCCTCTGCACACTAAACACAAACAAGGCTTGACACAGGGCCAGAACCTAATTTCACAGGTGGTTCCCAAGAGATCTTGACCTCAGGGAATTTCAGCTCCATTTAGCAGACTGGGGATTCAGATAGTAAGGAGAGCCATCTTCTATTTTAAACTGTACCAAGCCTTATGATACCGCATATGCCTTTAGGGAACTGCTGCTCCACAAGACAATTTAACTCATGACAGTTGCAGTCAAGTTTATGTTCATTACTATTTGTATTACTAAGCTAAGTCTGCATCAGAACTCACATCTGGGACACTTGGACTACTGACAACTTGGGGCTGAAGCCTAAATTTTCCATTTTCACTTTCTTCAGACTACTATGACTCTTTCCAGTGCTTTGAGTGGATGAAATCCATAACCCAGACTCAGCTGTTACAGCATGTATTAATCTGTCCTAAAAGTGGAGCCAAGTTCATTTTGGTTTATTTGAGCACTGAAAAGAAACTGTTGCCACAAAAATCAGTACACAGGAATGCTCCATATGAAATCTTATGTTCTCAATAAATTCAAAGGCTGCTCTAATGAAAAGCAGGTATTACCAAGGAAAAAGGAAAATTTTTTATGCTTTACTTCAATGTCAAATGTTGCCTGAAAAATGCCTTTGTTGTTGTCTAGGGGCAGCATTTTCTTAGTTGATACGGATGCAGAACAGGCAGAAAAGGCCTTTCCTCCTTGCAGAAAATGTAGGAATTCCATTCCACTAAATAGGCTGTCCAGATCTGCCAGAAAGTAGTGCATGCTCTATAAGAGCTGTGATCTCCACCTTATCCTAGACTGTTGAAAATGCTGACTGAATACACCACTTCATCACTGTTAGCACCTCGATCACTAGGCCAGTAGCAGGATACCTCCTGTACTTCCACCCCCCATGTAAGGCAGAGCAGCAAAGCCCGATGACTACAAGAGACCTCAAGAAGCAGCTCAAAGGGATGCCCTTGTTTGCTTGCTGGGATGTTGAGAAGACTGTCCATCAGGAGGACTCGCACAAAATCCCACGCTTGTTTCTTGGCAGGGTGTGGTAGAAGTGAGAGAGAGGAGGGATCAACACAGCCTTTCCCTTCAGCAATGGCTGGATCATCAGGAGATAAAAGGCCTTCAGAGCCTCCCTGTGGAAGCAGACAACAATGAATTTTAACTCATAATATCCTTTAAATTGAATTTTCCTCCTAGCAACCCATGTCTGATTGGAAGGGCTTGTGCTGGCTCAGATGCACATACCTTGGGTGGTCCAGAATGGAAAGCAACCATAGCCAAAGTTTTCAAGAAGTCAGGACAGTGCCAAACAGAGTCCTGAGTATAACTGTGATAGATCAAGCACAGAAACTGGATAACGTTCCCTGGATAGGCAATCTCCCAGGAGTCTTCTGCATCTGCAATAGGCTAAACACAGACAAATGTTCATCTAGTCAAGGCAGCATTCCTCTCACTTATGTAGGTTTCTCTTTGCTCCTGCCTAGGTATTCCTAAACAACTAAGCAAATATGACATGGCTACAGAAGTGAGGCAAGGCACAAGCAGCCAACTCTCAACCTGTTGACTGAAGATGCACCCAGTCAGAAAGGTGGAACGTCCTCATCATTAAGAACGGCCAAAACAGGTAATGCTGTGGGAAAGTTCCATCTCTGTGTTCAGAAGTTCTTAAACATGAGCCCATGACATTATCTGGTATGTAATATAACCAGGCCAATAGCCGTGCTGACATTTTGAACTCCCTGCTCGCTGTTATACTCAGTATTTACCTGTGAGGGCAGAAAAATGCTAAGAGTTACAGGTTAAGGCTGTCACTGACATCCGACTCTCTCAGGAAGTTTATTGTGCCATTCCCACTACACTGTCCTTGCAACAAAATGCTTACCTTGTCCACAGTGACTCTAACCATTTCCAGCAGTAAAGTAGCTGCCTCTGCACACAACCCAATTTTGAGGACATTCTCTGTAAGGTGGTGCTGCAAAATCCACTGCAACATAGACTCAAGATCTTTCTACAATAGGAAGAGATATATTTCAAGAAGAGATGGGAATTATATATGGTACATCAAGAACAATGTCTGCTCTCTCCACATGAGAAAAACCCCAAAACATCTTCACATCCAGTAGTTCCTCCCTCTCCTATTAAACGTGTTTATGCAGGATAGCACTCACGGATTGTCCTCTTCTGAAGGATACCTTTGGCACTGCCAGGGCAAAAATGCCTTATGGCTTCTCAGGACTCTGGGGGAAAATACTCAAATCCACTAATTCTGAGATTTTAATGAGCCTTGACAATGTAAAAACATACAGGGAAGCTGAACTACCTTCTAAATTTCATTTAACTACCGCACTTTAACACTTGCACAAACAAGTTTGTTCTGAACACAAATTTCCTTAAATCAAAGTTAACTTACTTAATTTTTAAAGTATGAATGACTAATTCTAGCTATCACTAAAACCACATAAGGTTAACTTGTCTGAGAGTCCTCTCAGAAAAGGCCACAAAATGCCAAAATAGTAAAGCAATAGTAGCTTCATGCTCGTCCACTATTTTTTCATACCTTGGCTGCTTCAGGTGGTTCAGACTGTGGCGTTGCCAGAAAGAGTCCTGCCATGAGCAAGTAGATCTCAGGGATGTGGACATGATCAGTCAGACATCTTTGCAATACAGAAAACCCAAAAATCAAGAAGGAGCCATTTTCATTTTCAGGCACTGGAGGATGAGTTTTTAAATTATCTTTGAAGGAAAAGAAACGGAAAACATTCTTAGGAAGTGTCTAAAAATGAATGCCATATCAGAGGAAGGATTACTGACCCAACTTTATCTTCACTTGTCTGTGTCCCAGGCCACTCAGTACTCTGTTAAGCTGCAACATCAACAGTTCACAAAACTTACTCAGACTAACAGATAAGAATTTTTCCCACTATTACTTTTGTTACAGGAGGTTCTCCCTGAATTATTTTTCTTGCTTTATCTTCCTTTTCTCAGAACCAAAAGTCTCGCCATCAAAAAACAAGCTGAACAAATCTTAAAGAAACAAAAGGTTTCAGGGCACGAGCTGACATCTGAACACTTCAAAGGCTTATCAACTAGCCTGATTTTATGCAAGACAAAAAGGCCCATCTTCCTGCAACTGCTCATCAGAAATGTCAACTACTGTGCAAGGGAGAAGCAATGCTTTCCACCCTTCAGCACAGAAAACTTGAAGTACAAGGATTAGCTTGCCCTAGAAAGTAATTAGGGCTACAAAGATGATTAAGGGGCTGGAGCATCTTTCTTATGAGGAAAGACAGGGAGCTGGGTCTGTTCAGCCTAGAAAAGAGAAGACTGAGAGGGGACCTTGTTAATGTTTACAAATACCTAAAGGGTGGGTGTCAAGAGGATGGGCCAGACTCACAGGACAAGTGGCAACGGGCACAAGCTGGAACACAGGAGGGAAAAAATCTTTACTGTGAGGGTGACAGAGCACTGGAACAGGCTGCCCAGAGAGGTTGCGGAGTCTCCTTCTCTGGAGATGTTCAAAACCCACCTGGATGCATCACAACTCTAGGTGAACCTGCTTTGGCAGGGGGGGGTTGGTCTAGATGATCTCCAGAGGCCCCTTCCAATCCCTACTGTCTGTGACTCTGTAATATCAATTTTTGGTCTACTGATATCAGTGCGAATTCTCCTGTCACACTTCAGCAACCTCCTATCACTGAGCTGGATGAAGAGGTTGTTTTTGGGAGGATTAAACCAACACATACCCATTAGAATACTCAACCCCACAGAGCTGTTTTCCAGCCAGCGCCCAGCCACCATCCCCTCCTTGAATTTGTTCAGCAGCAAACGATTGTGGAGGAAGCACAGAAGTAGCTTGATTCCTAGCACAACTGTGCTAGAGTGCAGGTAGCTCTGTATGAACAGCAGAAACCAGTCTGGCCCCAAGGCCAAAAATGTCTCTTCTTGTTCCCTAGGACAAACAGGGAAATGAAAGCACATTAAAGGAGACATGGTAGAAGACAGAAAAGAGATTTTTATCTAAGATTATCTCTAAGTGATTTAGAAGTTAAAGTTTCTCTAGAAAAAAAAATCTGATTAAAGGTTTACTGCTACACAAAATTGCAAAGATTTAACAATAGACTTGTCCACAGAGTTCAAGCCACTTAATACCCACTAAATCCAACTTCATATTACTGTCAAAAAAGTTCCTTAACATGAAGCTCCTTCTGAGATTGCGTTTCAATAACTGAAGTAAACTACAACAGACTAGAACTTTCAAGCTATGAAATTCAAAATTCCGGTTTAAATTTTGAAGTCCAAGATACGTTAACTAGTGTCAATGCACAGTTACAGCACTCAGCACTACAAACTCTGCCTTTCAGTCACACAAGGTAGAACTACAGTAACTGCATGTTCATGGTTACGATAGAGGCGGTGCAAGTAATCCCACACTAGATTGAATTGATTTTCAAAAACAGCTGGGATTTCTTCAACCCTTGCAATGCAGAAGAAATAGCAATATCCAAGTTCCTCCTTTGAGACATTTTCTGAACACATTAAACTTTTTTCAAAAAGGAGATCAGATGTATGGTTAGATCACACATCTGTGTGAATGTCAGATAAATCACTGACAAAAAATAACTCTGAATTCAGTCTGCTCTTACTATTTTGTTGGGACTCAGATATTATCAGTGTGTTTAGTCCTGGTCAAATACCAGAAAAGAGGAAATCTAGAAGACAGACACTCACCCACATCTTCCTAAATTGTTTCTACTTACTCAGAGGACAGATGAAGTTTGTTTGAGCGCATTACATCTAACAGCATCTTCAGTAACTGGTTTCGAAGCCAGATTGTCTTTCCAGATGTTTGGCTTAAGGCTACAAATATCAGAAAGTAATAAAGAGTAATGAAGAGACAAAACACATGTTCCATTGCTTTGATCAACAACCTTGTTTGCACCAGGTTAGCCCAATTGAAGTACTTATATCAGTCTTTTGCAGAGTAAAAAAATGTAGACATCAGATTTTAGGCATAAGAACTCCTGCTAACATCAGAAATGACCAATGCTTGCATTGTCGAAGTCCTCTCTTTAGAGTTACTTAAAACTCATCCAGACTACATGTTGAATAACAATCCAGAGGAAGCAGTCTCAGGTTAATTAGAGAGGGAAATGTAAACAGGCAATCTGACTTGTATTGCTTAGCTATCTTGTCTATATATACAGGCTACAGTTATCAGTGTCTCCTTAATGTAATACATTGTTTGGAGGTGCAATAACCAATATAGTCTCAACTGAAAGATCGCAATGGAAGAGCCAGCTGGCTGGAAGTTCCCACACACAAAGATGATATAAATACACAGATACTTTAAAAGGTGCAGAGCTCCAAATATTTATTTGCTACAACTACTGTTCACAGAAAATCCAGGATGCCAAGTGAAATTTTATTCCTTCTAATGGCCCAATATGTGAGTTTTGGGACAATTTCCATTTAATGGCCTTCATCTCTGTCTATATCTGAAATCAAACATTGTGTAGGCCCTGGACAACGCAGCCAAAAGTACTGCTGGCTTCTTAGCAGAGAGAGGACAAAAGGTGAACTCCCTTAGCAGAAGGAGGATCTTGCTGTAGGTCAGGCCTTCCTGGATACATATACACACACAGTGACTGTAACTTCACTATTCTTCATATCAGGCCTTTGTAGCAATGTAAGTTTTCCCCACAACTTCAGGTCACCTCAATGAGGCCTGTCCCTTTCCAGATTAAGTAATATGAATTGTCCCTCTTCCTGACACTGGAGGCAGAAGCACTATGTTGAATTTAGGGTTTATCATGCCTTGGGGAAGAAAGGAATTACTTTAGCTATCCATCAGAACATATACTCCAAAGGTAGCTCCTCACCTTCATTGGGCATTTCAGCCACAGTGTCCAGGCAAATCTGATTTTCATCCACAGAAGAAGGTTTCAAAGTGTAAACAAGGAACAATCCAATCCTTGCAGAGAAAGAGGGAACCAGTTTTGGTCAGCAGACAGAGAGTCATCCATTTACTTTGAGATTACATGCAAATCTCAATACTCATTAACGATGACTGTTAAGGACAACCACTGGAAATTCTAATGGCTGCAGAAATCAGTGTTGAAATAGGAATGCAAAAGTTCACAAACTAGGAAGCAAATAAAAAGGACATCTATCTACAAATGCAAGTAATATCTGTTCTACTATAGAAACATTTTTCTCTTTCTCTTGATTTTAAAGGTCTTTCACTATGAAGAAAGTGATGCCAAGTTAAGCACTTTGTTTATAGAAAAGACTCTGAACTCCATGTGCATTCAGATATCACTGTTATCACCACCTGTTTTCCAAGCATGTAGAGGAGAGCACAGAAACCTCAGAAACTACTCAAAGAGGAGGACTGGCAATCTCTTTTCACCTATAGTTTGTTTTAACACATTACCTGGTTCTAAGGACAGATAGATTAATGCGACATACACACTTTGTTAAAGTGCATAACCTCCTCCTCCCCACAGGAAGGGCATTTCTTAAGGGACAGAACACGCTTGTTCTGCAGGAATGGTCCACACAGTAATTTCCATTAGATATGTCAGGAGTCTGGGACCAACAGAAACCCCAGCACCCTTCAGTGCAGCTGAAAGCCTGCTATAGTCTCTGCTCTCCTGCAGCTGGAAGGATAGGTACTGTCTTTTTCTATTCACTCAGCACTCATGGGCCTGACAACCAATTAAATTACCATGGAATAACAAATAATGATATTTTAAGAAAAATGCTCATTCATACTCCTTACCACATGGCAAATTTGGTATACTAAATCCACTACTCACACCGGTATGAAAAAATAATAGGTTAACTCATAGAAGCCCAGGGTAGGAACATACATACAGGTAATTCCACAGAACAGCTGACAAGCAGTAAGTTCACATATTAGCTTACTCCACAGTAACTACTTGAGGTGCTGGTACTCTTCAACAGAGCTAAATGCAGACTGCATAGACCACAGGTTTAACGGGCAACTCAGTTTTTACATTTTATTTTGACAAAGAGTTTTAAAACCAGAGCTGTCATCTGTGCAGTGCATTTCTCTGGAGTTAGTTGGCTGTAGACAGCACTGTGTGGATGTTCCTTGGTTCATAGGCTACAGGCTGATGCAACTAGACTGGGATTATAAAAAATGGAGCAGTGTTTACATTCTATGGAAAGCAAACAAGGATTTAAATTCTTTGCTCCATGAAATCCTGACTAACTTATGTTAACTGATTGAAATTTAAGAACAAAAAGGATAGTTACTGGGATATAAGCCAGGCCAACAGGATTACATACATAGTTGACTGGGGCCAAGATGCAATACTTTAGGGGCAGGGTTTAATGAAACCAAATATTAAGTACAGACTTTTGAGTAGTCCCAGTCATAACAGCAGAACTGTTTGTGCCATTATTGTAAGGGTCATCACCCAACCCATTCTCACACAAACATAAGGTTGCACCCAAGTCTAGTTTTGAAGACATGAAAGAGTTTTTTATCAGTGAGGTTCCTCCAGTTGCCAAAGATCTGGGGGCTCCTACTGAAGATGAGGTGAGGGAAGATGAGGTGAGGGAAGTTATATAGCTCTCTCCAACACTGGCAGGAGTATAGTTCACCTGTAAACTAAGAAAAAGCTATAGACTTGAAGATTACCTGAGAACATCCCTTGTGTTAAAGTATCCTTGTAACAGAAGGGAGAGAATAGTGCAGGCCACAGTGATCCTGGAGTTACTGATTTCAGGATCATTGAAGAGGAAAATGAGCTTGGGCACCATTTGTACCTGGTAGGCAACCAGAGCATTGTGACATCCATCTCTGTAAAAAAGCACAGGGACTATTAAAAGCTTTTACTGGAAAGAACCAAATTTGCTGGGTTTCAACTAAAAAAGATTCTCAGGTTGCACTAATACTTTGCACCTTTGGTTTCTAATGTTGCCTTGGCAACATTTCAAATACTATCAGACAAATTGAATATGTGTCAGCAACAGAGATCTGGAGACTTCTTGGTGTGTTCTCTACCTTTTCCATCTGCTCTCTCCCCTGGAAACTGCTGCATTTCAATGAGTTCAAAGAAAACAACGTTATTGAATTTTTAAGCATCGAGTTGGTGGCAATAAACACTGTTCTTTTAAAACTCATCAAGGGACACTGGACAGCTCTACATAGAGCTTGCTGGTACCAAAAAGAAGGAATCTATCATCCTGCTCTACTCAGCCCCTTTGTCATGCTATGTCTTTTCAGATACATTTAACTCTAGTACAGCTGATTAAGAAAGTATAGTTACAAAAAACTCTTCCTTGGTTGTGTTTTGTTTTTAAACGCAACTTCACCTAAATTTTTATTATTATTATTTCATATACTCAATTCAAACATTCAGATTTCCCCTCTCCAGCAGACATTTAAACATTCATTGTACAGCAGCGGTTCCATGTGAACCAGGTCACCAGAGAGCTTTTCCCAGGCTAGCTCCACAGTGCTCTCAGGGGATGATTAAATCATTAACTCCAGCCTTGAAAGAGCAATATAGGAATGATTCAATCCCAGAGTCTACCGATTCCAACTAGAATTCAACGCTTCATATCCACCTCACAGTTCCAGCCTCAGGTTACAGATGAGCTTGTCCCACATGTTTCTGATTGAAACACTAGCCTGTGTACCTGGAGGACTGCAAGATCTCCACAAGGTGTGAAAAAAGAACAAGGTCAAGATTTTCTGGTGCTTTCATCCAAAGCTGAAAGACAATGGAAAACACAGATTTTACTGCTCTGCTGAGCTGAGAGGACAGTAAACTATGGCAGAGAAACAGTTACAAGTAGTTCAGGGAGGATAACATCACAAACTCTCAATCATTTCTGCAATGACAACCTGCAGGCACTCGGAAATCACTGTCAGTGTGAGGACTTGTTGCTCCTGAGCGAGGCCTGAGGAGCAGGCCATCAGGGTTTTGCTCCAGAAACTGCACAGGGACACAGTGGGGAGCTATGGTGACAGAGAACATGCCATTCCTGGAGCTACCACCTGCCCAGGTGAGACACAGTGTAGAAAATCACCACCCCATCCCAAATATTGGATCCAGTAGGTGCTGTGAACAAAATAAATCTTATATAAAGCCATCTTTAATACTGCCAAACTCACAAATTAACATCAACAGTTTTACCTCAAAGTTGCAGAGAACATACTGGAATGCACTATAATTCTTGATGACTGAAGACTCAAATCCAAGCTCAGCTGTGCCCACTAGGGAGAACATTAACTGTAAAATCCTATTGTTTAAGAGTTGTGTCTTCCTTTTCAATAGATAGGTCAGCAACTGAAAAAAAGAGGTTTAGTATCTTCTGAGTATAAATTTATATTTATAAACTCATATATAACATTATTCTTTAATTAAAGATAAATGCACCGTTTACATGGCTGTAGTAGTCATGCATGAATACATCTTATATAAGCACCATGAAGTAAGTGAAGATTTCAGTCCTGGCATAAAATTTTGTGTAGCAGGTGAAAGGGTAAGTTTTTGAAGGGGTTTGACAACTCTGTGGCATTGGACAGGAGCAAAATACATGCCATATTATGTTGAATGGAATTTTAAAAAAGCAACATATAAATATAATTGTAAATAACCACAGGAGGTTTTCTATACTATTCTTCATGGTTGTATTCTTAGTTGCTTGCAAATGGTGTTAGTTTAAAAAAAAATTTAATTTTGACCTCTTCAAATGAAAGATGTGTATGAAACATTGCCAGTTTCACAATGAGTCTATCTTTGATTATCCAGTGAACTCCTGATATAGTGAGAAAAATGTTCAGAAAGCCACTACATTTTTATTAGGTTGGGAGGAGTAGATATTAATTTGAAAATACTTATAAAGACATGTTTTTATTAGTTAGCTGTTTAAAAAAAAAAAAAAGAGGTTCAGACATCCAAACAAAGACCACAACCACTCCATTACAGCATGATGGTCAGTCATGTGGAGAGAATACTATCTAGTACAAAGTCAAAAGGAGCAGTTTGTGCACAATCTAAGGGCTGGCATTCACCTAAAAGAAAGGACTGGGCAAGCAATATCCAAGTATGATAAATACATTCATATGAATCAGGATCAATTTATGAACAAGTCACAATTTTGAAAAATGGAAAACATAATAAATCATTCATGAAGCACTAATGTTAAGAGTCTCGTTTGGAACAATCCCTGTTAAAGAGTCTTCTCTGTACTGTAAGACTCTGCTTAGCCTGTGCAGCATAAAATAAATGATACTGAACTGAAACTTCACACTTGAGCCTTAACCCATCCAATATTATGTATATAGTGCTTAAAATTTGCCCTGGTTCTCCCAAAGCCCTGAGCCAACCAAGCTCTTCAGTCTGCACAGCTTTCACTTTTGAAGGGTGAATTTAGGACAGACCAAATTAATGAAATCCAGACAATACTTATTTATATCAGCACAATTCCTAATACACAGTAAAGACTGAGACAGAGAAATTAATTGTCAGCCCTACAATGGGCAGTCTATAAAGGGGAATCTTAGGCTGGATGAGTAAAGGGGAGGAAGAAGACCTGCCTGAGAAGTGGTCTCTTGTGGAAGGGATCAAATGTATTGGTAAAAGGTGAAGGGTGGGTCACTCACAATTCTGCTGCACTGGCTTTACCAACTATAGTGTTCTTAATACAGGCAGCATACCACCTTCCATTATCAGATCATGTCTGACCAAGAAGCATCTGTCTTCACCTTCCCATCAGCAGATAGACTGTTACAGAGGTTCCCAGAGATGTAAGCACAGAATTTAGAGCACTATCCTATATCCTCCCTCTCAAAGATCTCATAATTTACAAAGTTACAACCATAAGTGCTGATATGCTTGGTCCATTGCCATTGATAGGCTTTGGGATGAAGCCCTCCAAGGGAAAGACTATGACCAGAATGAATGAACAAGAGAGTATCTACCTGGTAGCCATGCATGTGCCTCATCAATTTTTCACTCATTGGGCTACTGTTCAGGATGGAGTTCAGGACTTTGACAGCTGCATACATGGTGTGGTCATCACGGGCCATAGCAATGAGACCCAGAAGAATGGCAGGGCCTCCAATGAAGTTCAGGCTAGTAGCTGCTGGAGAGGACTGGAACACTCTTATCCCTAGGAAATTGTAGCGTTACTCTACCAGGAAGTTACATGGACTAAATCTGTTATTGGACAAAGAAAGGCCCAACTCTTAAAAAAATATGAAACATTAGGGGATAGTGCATTTACCGTATTGTCCCAGAGCAACTGACCCAATAGTCCTCAAAGAACCTGAGAGATGTCCAGCAATATTTTTAGCCAGGAATACTGGAGTTGAACTGTCCCGAGAGTTAATCCCAATCTAAAAGAGATAAAAGACACAACCTAGGAAAAAACAGAATAGTACTGGGGAGACAAAAAATAACAAGTAGACGCTCTAATACTTTAGATTATTACTTTTAGACTTTGAAAATATTTTTCCTTCAAAGTTGATTGTTACAACAAACATTGTTCACCCACCTAAGATATCCTACAACCTCATTATTTTGACATGTCAGTACATTCTTGCCAAGAATGCCAAGTATAGCATGTGAAAGGTCTTAAAGGCATTAAGAAATCACAGACCAAACCAAATTTTCACTAGACCTGAAAACTATGGCTTCTGTTGCTGTTTCAAGAAAGGTTTTTAACATTGTGTTCACACTGTCACAGATTAAAACAAAACAATGAGTAGAGTGGAGTTAAGGAATGGGAAGAGAAGCTGGAAAAAAAATCACTGAAGGCATGGAACTAAGACAAAATCACAATCTATGTTCTAGGAAACCAATCAGAAACGAGAGCAAATGTGTTTAAGACAAATGAGGGAAATCTATGACCTCTTTGGCAATCAGCCGGCCATCCACTTCATTGTAGGAGCTCTTTATATCTTGGACCGTAGTGAAAGATGAGCACACGGCATTGATTCCAAAAGAAATTTTCTCTTCTGTCACCAGAGGTGTAGGATTATAATCACTGTACTCATCCTTACCTAAAACAAGAGAGACTATCAATCTGTGAAGAAACTTTGCATGCTTGACGTATGAGATAGGAGAGGGGCAGCTGAAAAATAACTGGAGGAAACCAATGTTTAGAGGGGAATTTGATTTTGACTTATGTATAATTAGAAAAAAGCCCTCACCCTTTGCAACACAGCTCATGGCAGTTTGCCAGTGTAATCATCAGTAAGAGACGTGCTTGGCTTGTCTCCTACAGTTACTGCTTTGTGTAGATCCTACATCTTCTCCCAGTATCTCATGAGGTTCAGAAAAGTTCAGAATAAACATTTCTCTGTTAATACAACACAAAGAAACATTCTGGGCAGAGAAAACATTTCAGAGGCCTTCCATGTTACTGGGAGCTTTCTCAGGGTACTAGGAGCGAGGATTCATATGGAAGAAAAAGGAAAGAGAGGCAAAAGTTCAGAGCTGCCAACTCACAACATATGGGAAGCTTCTAAAAAGTATAAGCCTCCATATAGCTGATGCTAGTTAGTGAGAAGGAATGAGGCACTGGTGAGATGGGACACAACACTGCTGAAACAATGCAAACTGCTGTTCACAAAAAGGTCATAAATCCATTTTAAGGATTAAACTATAATAGTTTGGAGTTTTGTGATGAAACTTTTTTTAAGTCAAAATTTCAATTAAAAGTTTCTTTCCCCTCATCTCCCCACAAAAAGAGGCGGACGGTGGGAAGAGAGCAAGACAGATCATTTCACAATGATGAGATCATGTCTTGCACCGCTGAGTGGCCAAGTCAGATGGCCACAATCTGTTAGTATTGAAGTCCAGCTGGGGAGACCAAAGTACGGAGGAGAACAAGCACCTCAGACCTCATAAAGACTCAATACTTCAGAAAAATCAAATCCTTCCGACTTCCATTGGCAGTATTTTTATTTTAGGGTTGTATTTTGATAGAATTTCTCTTTCAACAAACCCTTCCCATTTTTGACTTACAGATTTATTTTTTTGTGTCTAGATAGACAGCATTCTGAAAGAGTACTTTCAGACAGTCTTTTCACATTGCTTTAAGCTGGAACATCACAAGGTGGGATTATTCTGCTCTGTTCAAATGGGAAATGACCATTCCATTTAATCTCAAGCTCTAGTACAGAGGTGAATGCACTACTTAGAATCACAGAATCATAGAATGGTTAGGGTTGAAAGGGATCTTAAAGATCATCTAGTTCCAACCCCCCTGCCATAAGCAGGGACACCTTCCACTAGACCATGTTGCTCAAACTTGGTTTGAGCAACCTTATCCAGCCTGGCCTTAAACACTTCCAGGGAGGGGGCATCCACAACTTCCTTGGGCAACCTGTTCCAGTGTCTGACCACCCTCACAGGAAAGAATTTTTTCCTAACATCTAATCTAAACCTACCCTCTTCCAGTTTAGAGCCATTTCCCCTTGTTTTATCACTACCTGCCCTTGTAAAAAGTCCCTCCCCAGCTTTCTTGTAGGCCCCTTCAGGTAATGGAAGACTGTTATAAGATCTCCCCTAAACCTTCTCTTTTTCAGGCTGAAAACAAACCTTGTTGAACAAACAGGAATCGATAACTTAAATGTTTTGTCTGCCTGTTTAATAATTGAAGCTAACAGTATACTTTAGTTAAAATGCCTCTTCATTAAACAGAATGTAACTTATTCCCCTACTCCTCTATCCTACTCTGCAGGCATTTGCAACTAAAGACAACGCTTCTTTTTCTGCCATATTTTTCTGTTGCACCAGAAATGCAGAATGCCTCAGTTACAAAGCTGCTGCTTTAATATTTGTCCAACAGAAATTGCAATCTCTCCAGCTCTCTGCTGCCTGACACTCACCCTTCTTTTTCTGCCCCATTTCCAGTATATTACAAGATCCTCATTGTATCTTACTACAATCTTGTATAACACTAAGTAACGCTGAGTTCCAGACTTTTAGAGGGAGCTCTAGGCACATCTTGAATACTAATAGCAGATTGTAAGTGTAAAAAGAGCATTGCCCTGACACAGAAGTGGTGGTGGATACAAGAATTATCACATACCTGGAAGCTGTACTGCTTGGAAATTGCTGCAATACTGTGGGCCAAGCTTATTAATCACCTCCATGGTTTCCACAGAGATGGCTTCTTCAAACAAGTATGCAGGGCCAAGGCGCCAGGTCAAGGAGGACTTCTGTTTCCAAATTCGAGGAGTAGCTATGTACCCATAAACATCAATAAAGGAAGAGGGTTCCATGGAAATACAGCTACCTGGTAAGGGCTGGAGATACTGCATCTGTAACAGAGGAAGAATTCACTGAGGGGACTCAAATACACTTGGGGTGCCTTAAGGTCTGGGAAGTACTGCCTGCTGCTTCTTTCTTCAATGAAGTCTCAGTCAGCTTTGCAACACAATTATCAAATACTGTTTAGAAATTGGACTTTCAGAAGTATCACAAACAAGCATTTTGGGAAGCTCAAGCCTACCTTTTGTTCAAAAAACACAGTCAAAATAATTTCAAGTGTTGGCAAAGAAAAACCCTGTCTGGAACCCAGAGTTATTTTTCCTTTTCTTCACTTCATAACTCAGAATGTGACTTTCAACACAGAAAGACAAGTTACAGATCACACCTTGTACTAAGCACCCAGAGAATAAACAGGTTTTGAAGAGTAGTGTCTAAGTGCATCAGATAGCTTCAGTGAAAGTGACATAGTTTAGGAAATTGGACCATTTATTTTTGCTATCAAAATAAAGATTCAACCCCTTAAATTAAGTCTATTATTTCACTTTAATGTGGACAGCTTTAGCAGGAAGCAGTTGGAATTTTTTTGGTAGAGAGAAACTATTTTGTGCTTAAGGGCTTAGCCCTGCCTTTAACAATTGGCTGATAGGATGAGAGACTCATAGCACTTACTGATTTCTGACTACTGAGCTGTAAAAGACAGGGCTGGTCAATATTAGGAGGCAAGACTTGATACCTGAGTGAACAAGTGTTAGGCTTGATGCAACACAGTAACCCACTCCACCACCCAAAAATAACTGTTAGTATTGATAACAAGCTTTGTGCAATTCTGATTTCTTACACAATCTTTTCTTCACTGTACACGTCAAGATGAAGGCCTGCATCATGTCAGAGACCTCAGCACTGGGACTGTCTTTTATTTACTAAAAGCTTGTTTTATTTATTATGAGCTGTTTGACTGTATGTTAAACACATTTGCTGTGAATTCTTTAATCAATTGCAATGCTTAGGCCTAGTTTTATTGATGACTTTCAGTCTCATTTGAAGGAAGGCAAATTAAATTAAATTTTCATTCTTGAAATGAATATAGGTCCCAAAAGGCATTTAGAAGACAGATCATTTTTCTCAAGTATGGGAAAGAGAATATTTGGAATTAAACAGGTTGCTTTTGCAAGGGAAGTATAAAACACACAAGTGAGCTTTGCATATGTTGAGATTGATTTGAAATATAGGAACAAAAAAGAAGAGACCAAGATTACAAGCTTCAATTAATAAAAAGAGTCTAATCAAAAACAAAACCAAAAAACAATCACACCAACCAGAGCTGCAACAGAAATATGCTTCATTTTAAACATTGCTAGCCTAAAGCATTCAAAATCCAGGAGCATGAGGATAATGATAATATACATGAAGGACTCTTCTCTTTTATCCTGTAGATTATTAACCCTTCAGGTACATTTGGATTGCGTTCTCGTGATATCTCATCCAACCTGAGAAATTCACCATTTGAGAACTGACTTGTATGCAACAAGGAGAGGAAATACTAGCTACACCAACATTTACAGTGAACTCATGAGTTATCATTGAAATTCACAAATTTCTCCTAATGGAAACATTTCTTTCACTTCTATTAACTCAAAAAAGAGCTAATATTTTAATTCAAGAGCTATCTCACACACTAAACAACTAACCGGGAAGAACATCTATCTGTTCCCGAATGCTTAGAGTGCCAGTGGGAAAAAGGCCACTGACTCATCAGCTGATTGTTCAGTGGGTCTAACAGGAAGAGGACAGCTTGAAACAAGCCTGTGTAATACGCTTGAGGAAATTCCATCCATCTTGGGATTCTTGTAAAGAGCTGGCCAGTCACAGAAACTTATTTCTCTGCAATCTTGTCCCTTTTCCAGGCCTTTCTTCAAAAATGGAGGTTCCCTACATAACTTATCACCTTTGCAAGTTTTAGCCTAAATCCAAAAGCACCTTCGGTTTAGGATTCTCTGGTCACAACTTAATGCGATGCACTTTTTATATCTGACAGCTTCTGAAAATCTTGGCTGTAAACTGAGAGATCCTCGAAATCACTAGTCAATTGAGAAAATTTTGGCCTAAGGGTACAACTGAATTCCATCAACATAACCCTGAGCTTCCAGCAAACTAGGTAACCTCAACTCTCAGATGAGTGTAACCACCTAAAATTGCCCTGGTTATCTGCTTGCTGAGGCAGGAGGGGTGAACTAGTTCAAAGCATCGGTAAAAGCTGATAACAATTCTGAAAAGCAGCACAAACACACCCTGGTTTGTATGGATTTCTGACTCTACTCAAGCATAGTGCTAACTGGCATGTGTTACGTACACAAATCATCATGCTTTGAGTCTATCTGGTTAATACTGAGAAGTCGTGGTGTGTGCACGAGGAGATGAAAATAAAAAGCAATGAAAGGTAAATGTTAAGCACAAGATCTATGCAGAGAGCCTTTACCTTTGCAGAGCCAAGCATTTGACCATTTATATAAGCTGACACAATGCAGTTCTTCTTTGCTTCCTTAGCAACTGTCACTGTGAGATGATGCCACTGCCCAGTGATTAGCAGCTTGCCACAGCCAAACTGGACTTGCCCTGGAAGTGGGGAAGGATTTAGGACCTCACACTCAGGTTCCATGATATCTGTAATGGCAAGAACAGGGGGCAGTCAACAGAAAGCCTCTCTCACTTTCCCCTGCCTCTGGAACAAAACTATCTAATATGTCACAAAGAACATGATTCTCTGTAGATATACAGTGATTTGGTGATATTCTGTTCAATGCAATTAAAACATTCCCTGAAGGTCTGTTATCAGGACCTGAGACTTGCACAACTCTTAAGATCTCTCCAGCATACAATGTGCCATGCTCCCAAACAACATCTGCTAGTTGCCTCAATGCTGCAAAACTAGACTGAACTAGGACAAAGACAACAGATTCTCTAAGAGGGGAACCCCTCAGGATATTCACTGAATTAGCTGACAGGAAAAAAAAAAAATCCTAGTGAATTTATGAGATAATAAAACTCTGTACATTAATTTGTAGTTTTTATGAAAAGAGGTAAGCTGGGATTTTTAACATCATCTAAGGGAATCGGAGCACTCACACAATGTCAACTGTGCATGAAAAATCCCAGCTACTATTCCCACTCCATTCCCAACCTCCCCTGCAATGTTCACTCACTTTCACATTTGAAGTAGCTACTGTACTGAATAAGGAGAAAGGGATAAATGTCAACGTGGAAAAAAGATTAACAGGCTGGCATGATAGAAAACATTCTAAAAGTGAGGAAAGGAAATGAGCTGTTTGATTAGGAAGCTAGATCACTCCCAAACTCCTCAGTCCTACCCTCCAAACCTGCCTACTGTCACACAAAACAGGCAGGGACCAGCTGGTTCAAGTCCCATCCCCACAACTGCACACAAGCATACAACTGACAATCAAAAGCTTTCCTTAGAATATTTATAAGTTTTATCATATATTGCAGGCCAAAAAATTATTCTTAATTCCTACAGCAAATTTAAAACTGAAATAAGACCAGGAATTACAATCATAACAGGCTGCCAGAAGAAAAATGGAGAGATAAAAAGTTTCAATGTCCTGGGTACTTATAAGAAGAGGAAATTTGTTAATGAAAAATTCCAGATAATTCAGAGGACACAACACTGCAGCTTGACTGAGAAAAGCCTTACCAAGAGGCTGGAATTCCACTTCTTCTGTGGAAATGACCAAAAAACAGTCATGTGGGAGGAAGCTTACTGAAAAGCAAATAAATTCTTGCTCCGTTCTTGACATGTGCCTCACAACTGTGAGGAAACGGAGTGGGTGACTGTTGTGCTCCAAACCAAACTTGCTAACCAGAAACCAGCAGGAGAATGTCAGGCCGCTTGAGGGAGGGAACATTCTGGTGCCTGTAGACAGGAAACAAAAAGGCAGTGAGGAAGTTGGTTTCCTTGTGCAGACATTAGCAAACTGCTTTGTTTCATTTGTAGCCCAAACTATGTATGAACCAACATTAGAATATGAGGTTTAATTTCTGTTCTTGTCTATTAGATTTCACTGCCTATCTTCAATATCATAGAGACTTCACATATGAGTATGTGCACATGTATAAATTACCCAAAATTGACTGATGAGAAATGACTACTAGATCTGTATGCCACAGAGTTGAACAATTGGTAAGCACTGAGCCAGAAACAAATTTTCTCAAAGTTCACAAAGTTCAGGAAGCAAAAGGTACAGCCATTTCCCAGTTTACCCAATAGAGGATTTTGACCTATAGGATAATCCCATTTCATGTTAAGTGACAATTTCTAGTCCATCCATGGGAGATTACCCTAAAATCTGGGAGCTCTTACTTGTTAAGACTGTTTTCTTAGCAGCCTACTGTAAATTTGTATTGCTAAAGTTAATGCCAATACATCACACTATTAAGTTGCATCTGATACTGCATTTTGGTGAGCAGTCCGAGTTATACAGCTCAGAGATGGACTGGGACAAAGAGACGGAAGTGTATTGAAACACACAGCTTATTTCCTGCCATTTCTTACAAATGCTTTCAGGAAGCTGTAGGTAAGTCCAAGTGCTTACCCATGCCAATTCCTCCTGAGACAGATTGCTCTGCACTGGGTCCCATAACAGTGGCCAAGGTAGGGAAGTATAGACACCTACAAAAGCAAAGCAAGGACCCATTCATCAGAAACATAAAATCATTCCTGAAAGTCATCAGTGACTTAATACTGTAGAATCATGGTAGCAAGTCAGAATCTAAGCTATCAGCAATAAGACAATAATAAAACAGGTTAGCAACATTGCTGCAAGGAAGGCAGCGATTAGGCACAAGGCTTGACTAAGATGGAGAGAGAAGTGATCAGTTGCTGTGTCCAGAATAAGGGCTTGGAGACTTCCGAGTAGCTGAAGAGAAAAGCAACAGCAGCAATACCCGTATCCTTCCATGGACATGTCAAACTCCACAAACGATGGAGCCAAAGCAGTGCCGCGGAGCTGGAAGTTTCGAGGCGATGTCATGGAGATGAGACTCATTGCAGTCTGGAGTGCCAATGCAGATCCCTTAGACACCCAAGGAGAGTTGACAGGCACAACTGTCTGAGGATCAGTTTTATTGTCTACCATGTCCTCTTCTGAACCTACAAGATAACATAGTGCCTAACCAGATCAGTGTCTGCAATACTTTTTTCAATCACAGGCTTTGCCTGTATTCAGTTCATCACTGATACGAACAGTGCTGCATGTTCTTCAAATAACACACCCTCAGCAGCCTTCGGAAATCCCAGCAAGACACAAAAATATTGCACTGAGTGAATTACAAAATGGGAGGCTGGCAGGAGAAACGAGCTTACAGAAGTAACAGCTGTACTTTCTCCACACACATCTTCAGGCAGCTCCAAACTTCACCTCTAGTAAAAAAGGGCTCCTGACCCATTGCTACCATTTTGCTCATAGATAGACTATTCAATTCTGACATAACACAATGGTTACAACCAACATGTGGGAGAGAATCTGAAGAATGACAGCAAAGGACATAAGACACAAATTTGCACCATGCCGTAACAGGTGTCTCACAGGCACAAGAACAGTTTAAGCACCAAATATTACTACTGTAGTCTTTCATTTGCAAAATATTTTAGAACAGAGAAAGGACTTAGATGGAAGATGGCCTGTATAAGCAAGGCAGGTTATGAGGATATCCTAGGAATTACAAAATGCAGTGCTCTTTATTCACATCTATTCTGTTTTTGCCTATAAACCCCAGGGAAAAGATGCTGCAAAGCCAGGAGACACTCCCCTTGGTCTGTGGAATATGATTAGTATTTTTATAGATCGCTTCCATGTCTGATCCAGCAAAGTCTAAATCTATATCAGCATCTGGCTTCAGAACACTATCTCCGCTGGTCATTAGACGAGCTCTCAGTGTTGGTCAAGTACCACCCAACCTGGGCAATACCCAGTCTAAAACATCCAGGCATACTTCATCTTCACTGCGACTGTCTCGGAGCAGCCTACTCCAACAGCAGTTTCCTGTCATTACAGAGACATCTATAACCCAGCCGCTGTACCAGTAACAGGCTGTTCTTTCTGTGCTTACCTTCATTCCAAGTTGCTTTAGTTGAATCACTCCCCTGACATGAAAGAGCTTTGGTCTTGTTTGTGCTGGGCCAGGAAGGTAGTGGTAGAGAACCTCCCAACCAAAGAAATTGCCTAACATGAAAAAAAAGAAGCAAGCAACCAAAAAAAGGAAAAAAATCAAGTCAGACACTTGGGAGTCGTAGCAACCATGCAGATACAGCTCAGCTCTGGAGATCAACTTTCTTATTGGATACCAAATTTTAAAGACATCCCAAACAAAACAGAAGGAATGTTTTCCACTGTATCATCACAAATATTTCTTTTGCTTTACACTTCTCTTTTCAATTTTTTCCTATTGAAAATAGACAAAGGTTATTTTCTGCATCAATACTTTTGAATACTACTAATTTTTCAGAAAAAAAAAGATCTATGTGTGGGGTTTTTTTTCGGGGGTGGAGCGGTTTTTTTTGTGTGTTGGGTTGTTTGGGTTTTTTTAATTTTAAGAAATTATGTTCCATCTTTGAGTAAAATAAATCCAGTCTTCCACTGCATATCCAACTACATCTGCACTTTGATCTCTATTAGGTACTCTCAAGCCTAGCATTTCTTAGCATTGAAGAAGAAAGTACATCCTCAAAGTAGAAACAACAGAGACTGAGAAACAAGACTACTTTTTATTTTTGCATCTGTCTTTGTTATGGATCTGAGCCAAGAGAAAGTAACTTTTACTTTTCAGGAAACAGCTTCTCCACATGAATACCAGGAGAGAATAGTTGTTTTGCAATTACTTAATTAGTTACCATTCATAAATGGCTTTACCACCTGAGAACACTACAGACTCATACCATCTCAGTAAGTCATTTAAGCATATTCCCTGTGATCAATATGTAAGTAGAATCATAGAATCATAGAATCATAGAATGGTTTGGGTTGGAAGGGACCTCAAAGATCATCTAGTTCCAATCCCCCCACCTTCAGCAGGGACACCTTCCACTAGACCAGGTTGCTCAAAGCCTCATCCAGCCTGGTCTTAAACACTTCCAGGGAGGGGGCATCAACAACTTCCTTGGGCAACCTGTTCCAGTGTCTGACCACCCTTACAGTGAAGAACTTCTTCCTAATATCTAATCTAAACCTGCCCTCTTTCAGTTTAAACCCATTTCCCCTTGTCTTGTCATTAGTTGCCCTTATGAAAAGTCCCTCCCCAGCTTTCTTGTAGGCCCCTTCAGGTATTGGAAGGCCGCTATGAGATCTCCCCGGAGCCTTCTCTTGTTCAGGCTGAACAGCCCCAACTCTTTCAGCCTGTCTTCATAGGAGAGGTGCTCCAGCCCTTGGATCATCCTGGTGGCCCTTCTCTGGACTTGTTCTAACTGGTCCATGTCTTTCTTATGTTGGGAGTAGTATTAACAGACTTGAAACAAAAGGCTTAAGAGCCTTGCTGAATTAGAGCACTACATGAAGTATCCAATTATTACATAAACTTTGCAAAACATTTGCACAACTAAAGCAAATTGGTTCCATGAGATACAATCTGATACCTTAACACATTTGGCTCAATAGCCTGTGATGCAAGCTTCTCAAACACTCTAGTGACGGGCAGATGCAATGGATGGCTCTCATTGTGGAAGGCATCCTGACAGGAAGTTATGATGGTGCTTAGCAAGCCAGATCCACACATCACCTGGCGACTCTTCTCTGACTTCACCAGGGACTGGATATGATCAACCACAGCACATTGGATTTCCTGTGAGAGCTGAAATGGACACAGAACTGAAGTCAGTGGGCTGGAACTAAAATTGTACGTGATTAAATTTTTTTTTTTTTTTTTTTTTTAATTGTCAAATCTCTGGGTGTGAAAATCTGGCCCAGAAAAGAAGCCTCTAAGGCCAGAGGCTCAAGTGCAACTGCATGGCTGTTCTATAAAGCTCTACACTTGAACAGTGTGTGTATAACCATCTGAGTAGCTGCTCGGCCAACCCACAGTTGAGATATATTGCCACAACACTATGGTAGTGAAGGAAGAGAAAAATTGGCTGTCATTCAAAAGAAGGGACCACCACCAAGGGCAGGTTATTAGGCATAAGTTCCAAGACCAACACAGTAACTAGAATATATTTAACATCAAGCACGTGGAGAGTCATATTGACATGATCTAATCTTCGTTATAAAAGCACTGTTTGTAAACAAACTGTATCAAGAAATATGAAACACCTAAATTTAAACACTTCTCTACATGTTTTGCAGAATTGAAGCTTTATTTCATTATTGCTTCTTAATGGTCTTAAAGAAGTATTGCAATTCTCATAAATTATCTCTGAAGCAATTTGTTCCCAATTAGGAATGAAGCCTACCCCACTGACCTAACTAGATTTCACACAAAACTAGCCCCAAGAGTTCTTTGGCTTTCTCATATGCTCTTCTAGTAAATATCCATGGAAACTTTTAAAGGAAAGGACAACAATGGTGGCAGACGTGCAGACTAGGACACCGGGATTTGATTTGACAACGTGAACGAGAGGAAATTTTACTGGATTCAGAACAAGCTAACTTATTAAGTGTAAAGAGGAATTCAGCTCTTTTGTATCCAGACCAAACTCAAAACCAGCAGAAAACACATTCAAAGTTAACCAAGCAGGTTTTTTTTTCAAACCAAAAGCCCCAATTGCAATACTCAGACAATAATAGTAGCATGTCCAATGCAATACACATATTATTTTTGTAAACTCAACTACTATTTTTGATATCTGAAGGGTGAGTTCTCTGGATAAGATTTTCTTCTCTCTGAATGACTGCTCATTCCCAGTGACACAAGTTTCACTGTGTATCACATTATATACAGAAATTATCCACCAGACTCAACTACACTACTCTTCACAGAGTGGCACTTACTCCTATATCAAAGCCTCACTTACCATTTTTTTTTTATCTTTTAGATACTATTTTACTCCATTTTTTACCAGACGCAGCAAAGTATCTGGATTATAAAACCACATGAAGACAGAGAAGGACACAGGTCTTGACTAAGTGAAACTACTGGTTTACTCCAAAAATAAATCCTATAAAAGCATAACGGTATGCAAAAAAATTGATTGTTTTCATTAGCTTAGCAGCTTTGTCAATACTAGTATTGCCTTGTTTTGAATAAAATGTGCTGTTTTCATGGATCTCAGTTCCAGTAAAATGAGATTTTAGTGGAAATAGAAACAGTGGCCAGGAAACCAGGCTGTGTGTTTCTATAGGCATGGATTGATTTTGCTAACACATATTACTTGCACCATGAATCAGGATATTGAAAGTGCAGTTAGAATGCAGTTAGGCTCACAGCTCTGCCTCTGATTAGAGTCTTAATGACAAAATGTCACCTACCAATTTGCCCAATCTGTTTAAGTAGTTCCCAGATTCTTGCTCCTAAGAGCCCGCAGTTTCAGAACTTGGTAGCTGAATTTAATCCACTGTTATTCATCTTCAAAATGATTATGCCAGGTTTAAGATGAGCAAGAACTTTGAAACTGTCAGTATGGGTTTATTTCAAAATAATGTAATTTTCTTAGGTTTAAGAATGATAGAGCAATAATTCTGTGTTTAATTGCAAAAAAACAAACTTACTTTTCAATCTCAGGAGCACCTCTCACTTAAAAGCTAGCAGCCCTTCACAGAGAATTAGAATTAACTTCCTAACATACAACAGAGATTTAGTTTTACTAATGAAGAAATCAAGGCACAGAAAGCAGCATCTTCAAAAAGTTCCTGGTTTTACCAAGTTACAGAACTTGTGGTCATGCACTCCTTGAGGAAGACAAGGAAAAAAACACTATGAATTGTGTGAATTGTTCCTACTTTTCCAAAAATGACCCAGAAAGGGCATAGTTAAATGCCTCACATAAACTGTATCATCTCCATCAGGCTTTTTGCACTTTCCCTTGGTACAGCTTGCATGTAAGAAGCTACAGAGCTTTCCTCATACAAATACCAGGGCTACTTAGAGAGAAAACATACTAGTAAGTCTTGACCATCTGAAGCCAGGCAACAAAATTTCCTCATAATTTTAAAAATCCTTTTGTTAATTCTAGTGGCCTTACAGATCTCTTGCTCACCAAATTATATTTAGTTGCAGTATTTTCTTTCCCCACAGTACTAACTGAATGCCATGTCTCCTTATTTTTCTAAGGTACTGTGCAGTGCTATAACATGATGTTCCTCAGACACCCGAGAGGAAGGCAAAGCTGCCTTTGTGTGCCACCTTATAAATAATATGATTGCATGAAAAACAAGACAAAGTAGAAAACAATCTTCAGTATAGCTAGTCAGGAATTCTTGGCAGAGTTCCTATCTCTTCAATCCAGGATGCATTACCAAGACTTCAGTGCAACTTCAGAGACACTGGCTGCTTTTAAGGAGAAAGTGAATAGTAAGAGAAACAGGACAAATAAAAGGGCAGTCTGTGGGGCTGGAAGCACAGGAGGAAAATTGCTTGGTTTGTATAAACAGTGAAAGCTTCAGAAGCTGGTTGATCAATGAACAAGCAAACTTCTTACTAAAAGCTCCAAAATAACCTTGGAAAAGAACATGCAGGCAGGCTGTGCTTTTTTTTTTTTTAAAAAAAAAAAGTTAAAAAAAAAAAGTTGTGTTGTAATAAGAACAGGCTCAGCAAAGAAAAATCCCACAGGAGACAAGGCTGGAGCAAAGCCTGCAGGAAAGTGCTCAGGGAAAAGAGCTGATCTTCAGCTACCAGCCCAGGTTGGAGGACTCACTGCCAGGGTGTTTCTAGTCTCCTTCCTCCTATCAGAGTTCTGGTTCATTCTCCTTTACTTTCTCCCAAAGTCTTGGCTTGGAGAATGAAGCTCTGGCCAAATACATGAAGAATTTCCTTGTGCAGATAATGCAGTGCTGTAATTCAGGAATTCACAGTGATATTAACAATTACATTAGCAGTGATATTAGTAATATATGTCTGAAGGCAGACAAATCTCAAATGTCACAAAGCCTTCTGTGTGCCATATCTAACTATGTCAAAGACTTTTTCAGTTTAGAAAGAATTTACATTTTAAAGAAACACAAATACTTGTAAAGTGTTACGCTGTTAACATCTACACTGAGAACAAGTAGCTTAGGCTAAATTTAAAGCAAGGACAAAGGTCCTTTAAAAAAAGATGTGAAGTCCTTATTGATGCACAACGTTTTAGTTTTACAACAGTAATATGACAGCAGTTCATCATAGGAGAGACATGGATAAAAACAGAGAGGCCAAACCCAGCTGTGGAAGCAATAATATTATTTAACAAAAGTATAGATTATTTACATTAAGAATCATGTGAGGATTTTTTTGTCCATACTCACAAGAAACCTGCCAGGATGATGATACAGAACTGAATAATGCTTTGATTCTCTTCTCAAAAGTTCTTTTCTTGCCCTTACCCGGCCTTGTCAGTTCTAGGAGATCACTTTATCTGACATCGCAAACAGAAAAGATCTGGCATGACACTCTGGAGTCTTAAAAGTCAGTCTCAAAATGCCAGACAAGGACGAGATATGTCTGAGGGGGAACTGGGAAAATCCTGAGCCACACATCTGAAGCAGATGTTAACCTGTCTCACTTGTACTTAGTTTTTTTAACATGTGACAATGCTATCCTTCATCACAGAACAGGCAGTATATCAATAAAAGGAAAATCCACATTGTATTTGGTCAGACTGTTTGCACTTTGATGGGAACTGCCTTAGTACCAGTCCTAGGCATGAACATGAACGATATCCTCTAAATACAGTTTACTGACTCAAAGACTGTCTCTTGGGGGTTTTTAAGGCTTTTAAGCAAATTTTCATACCCATATGATAGTGAAATGATTTTTGATCATACCTAGTAGTAATATGCAACCACAAATCTATTCTCTTCAGCTTTTAATTGTCATTCTAGACAGTCAGAAGAAATGGTTGAAGTGCAAGACGACCTGTTTTACTCTCTGCTACTATTTTTCCTACATTGACAGGCTCAACATTGTTTCAGCCCGTCACTGCTTGAGTCTGACAAAGGTCACTGAGAAGCAGCAAATTGTCAGGAAATGGATATTATCTCTGAGGGTCACAATTAAAGTACATTAATTTTATTGAGTTCCATCAACATTTCTGTAGAAGCAGTGCTATTGCATTGCCATTTCGGTGAAAGCAAAGGATCTGCACATGACCTGAACTGATTCTGAAGATTTTTCCAGGTTACCTCTAAACACCTGAGCCTAAAAGATCTATCATAGCACTAAAACGAGCAGAAAGAGGTAAGTTACTGTCTGTTCTTCATCATTGCTCCTAAAACAATATACTATTTGACTCAGTCTTAAACTCAGAGCTAGAAGCCCCTTCAGATTTTTGAATAAAAGTCTGCAGTAAAAAACCCTACCCACAAAGAAATTATTTCAACTCTCATGTAGCTGTCAAACACTGTTGCACTGTAAGAAAAAACTATTTAAAAGGAAATTCCTTCAGCAGTTATCCTTTGACTAAGTAGTTCCCCTTCACTAGTCACTGAGGTCCACCTTTTGCATCAGATCTTGGATGACTCCTATGTTCCAGTAGCATCTTATTGCACAAGAGTTCATGTAGTGGTACATGTTATGATTAAAGGCAGTAAAGTCCAGCCTTTTGTGTCACTACCTGGCAGCAACAGTGAGCTGCCCAAGCTACGGGACATGTGGTTCCACTCATTCTCTCACCCACTTTTAAATAAAAATAGCCAGAAAAATTCTGGTTTTCCTCTATTCTTTTTGAGGGTCATTTGATGAAAAACTCTTCAGGACGTGTGCTAACTCCCAGCTGGAGTCTAACTCAAGACCCTGTGTAACAGTGGTCTCATTTTACCTGAGGTAATCCTGACAACACTAAACAAACACTATCAGTAATAAATTCTTGTTGACTAAGAAAAAAGGAGTGAGAAAGGAAGAAAATATGAACACAAATACATAACCAAAATTGCTGGAATTTGTGCTCTAGTCCTTCATATTTTTAAGAACAGTGCCATCTACTGAGGGTTTGAGAGGCTTTGCCTCTCATACAGCTCAGCCCTAGAGCCAACTCAGTTTCTTGACACTTTCATCCAGTTGTCTGTTCTACTTGTTTTTTTCAGAATTAATTGCTGTAATTAACAAAATTTTACTAGCTGCTGGCTTGGTTCTTCTACACAGAGTTGGGATGTGCCAGCAGTTAGTTGCACTCCCACCTTCCCTATATCTGGATGAACAAACTGGTTTTATTTCAACCCCTACATATGTAGTTTAACTGTATTCAAGTATTTTAGACCAGATAGCAGATACAATATACTTGTTGAGATTGGGTTTGTGTATGGAAGGTTTGACAAGCAAAGCAGATTCTAAGCTGAATTCAAAAGTTTATGGAACGTTAGGCCTGAAGAGCCAGAATGTTCTGGTTGCTAGGTCCATCAGCAACATTTTAAACAATTTTCAATGCACTTCTACACTTGTGCCTTTGCAGTAAGTATTCTGGGACCAAGACCCATGCACTGCATCAGAGAGGTACAGGCACACTTAGTCAAACTGATCTGCAAGAGTCTTTGTTGGTCTCGCATCCGCTGACTCCAGGAAATTTGCGCTGTTCCTCCTGATAATATTTTAGGTAAATTTTAGTACTTCCCCATTTGCAAAGACTAAGCAATTCTTGGTAATGAAGCTACAGAAAAGTAGCAGACACTGTTCAGATGGCACTCTGATATGTTCAGACTCACCTGAGAGTGTCCCTCTTTGTACAGCTTTGGCAGCAACCTCACCATAACGCAGACAGCACCTGGATGTACAATGGTACAGTCTCTCATTTCCCACCTGCAGGAAAAAGACACATGAGACTTATCAACATAATTATCACTAACAGCAAAGAGGGTCCAACAGTGTTCCAGCAGAGAACAGCATTAAATCCTTCTAGCAGTAACCAGGCTTAGCATTTGAAACTAAGTAAACAATACAGATAAGCTGGAACAGCTGGAAGCCTCCTTAGAGTCACAAAGACAGGATATAACCTGCTCATGAGCTCACAGCTCCGAGGTCTGAACATTCAAAGATGTGCAGCAGCCTCTTTAAACAAACTTTGTTTTTGAAGGTACTTTCAGTACAGAGAACAGACAATCCGAGGGATCTCCCTGATGCATCAGCCCAGAACTAGTGTTATATTTTCTATTTTCAAGCAGTTTGTAAACTTCGTCAGGTGCACCTCTGAACCAGAGTTGTGAGGTACACTGCCAGAAACATCTGTCCCAAAAAGATCTCATGAGAAAAGCAAAGGCAACATCCAACATCTAACAGCCATAATTAGACTGAAAAAATAAACCACAGTGTGCTTTACGGACTGTAAAAAACAAATGGCACAAGTAAAAGAGTGAGCATTAAAAAAGGTTTTACAAGGGACTTTACTAAAGGAGGGTAAAAAGGCTGTGATTAACGTTAGCCACCTCCAGAGAGGCTCACCAGACACCTCAGAGCAGCAAGTAATGCGTATCACACTGCCACACAGTGACAAATACTATTACTGCACCCTCAAGAAAGCTACTTTCGAATAAATTCTCATTTGCAATATTTTCTGTGTAATGAACCAAAATTAGATGTGGTATAAATACTCGCTGCAGCAGTGGCTCCAGTGTGAACACATGAATATGGGTGAGGTTTTTAAATATCAAACAAGAAGAAAAGTATGCACTGAAAATACACCCTTCTCCCATCTTCTCTAAAAAACCCCGACCACCTTTAAAGAGAAAAATCCAGGCTCACTAGAATCTACACGATCAAAATTTCAGTCTGCTTTCCTGCTGCAGCTGTGCTCCCCAGAGTAAGTTATTTTTTAGCCTAAGCCACTATACTCAAGGACTGACTTCCCAAACTTTCAACTAAATTCAAACTTCCATCTCTAGCACTGTAAAAACACATTGCCAGGCTCCATGTCCAGTTCTCCTAACACACAGCAGTCTTCCTAAAGACTCAGGCACTGAAGAAATATGGTTATGTTCAAACTCCAAAATTTTTCCTTCATATAGAGAATTATTTTTTAACCCATGTGACGTGTAGTAAAGGTAGAATGTGAATATCAGGAGACAATAATAGAAAGTGATTGTTTAAAAAATAAATACAATCATAAAATGGTTAAGACTCATTTTCTGTCTTGTCTTAGTACAAAAGCTGTCTCCAGGTACCAACTCCTCACTCCTGCAAATATCCCATCTCTCACACTCCTGCCCTAGGGCTATCCAGTGAGCCCCATGATTCCACTCTGTCTACCACACCAGTATCATGGTCTGAATCCCAAATCTGCTCTACACTGGCTGCTACTTAAAAATAAGAGGCTATGGGGACAAAATGAGATGCCATAAAGAACCTGAAGAGCCATTAGCGCAGTGAGTCTGTGGTAACAGCAGCTGCAGCAGCCAATCTGCTAGGGTAGGCACGAAGAGGGGCTTCCCTCCCAAAGAGACATCACCCTCAGTTAACACAGCATGCAGCAATCTATCTCTGATCACCAGAGGCAAAAGGAAAAACAGAGACACCATCTGTCACAGAAGGTGTTTCAAACATTAACGCAGGAGCAGGAACACAGAGGGCTGTTTTTCAGATGGGAATGAAAGGGTCAATTCCCCTGTGGCCCAGCAGCTTACAGGATCATTGACCGAAGGACAGTATAAAGGGCTAGCATATTATCCAGTTAAAATGCTGATTTTCCTGTGTCTCAGTCACAAGCTCCCCTAGGATCACCTTCTTTCCCCCTCTTCAGGGATGTTAAATACACTTTGAAGGATGGGACATCACAGGCCACCTACACTGACTGCACTCAAGTTCCTCCTTTCAAGCTGCATAGCCCCAGGCTGAAGGCTTCTTCAGGAGGAAGTGTGAGCGTGGAGTACCCCTAAGAGGAAGTTGCATTAGGGGAACCACAGGCTTGCAGGAACTCTGAGAACTTGATTTCTTATTTTTATTTTCAGAAAATTTACTGCTGGAAAAGGACACAGCCTGTGCAGCCTGAAGACTGACAGCTTGCCAATACATGTTCCTCTGCATATGCTTGTCCTGGACACTCTCCAGCCACCTCTAGCTAATGTGGCTTCCTTTTGTGCCTTCACATCTCAGAACCAAAGCCAAACTGTCCCTAACCAGACACTGTGAACTGAATGGATCCCAATTTACATGATTAATTTCTCCATAAGTGGTATTAATTCAGTTACTGCACAGCCTCACAGCTCAGCAGGCAAAACAACACAAGGACCTAGGAAGTCTTGCTTTATGTCTCAGATCTAGTAACTTCAGAAAGACAAGCAGAAGACACAGCCATACCCTTCCCAGCACTGTCACTGATCTATTCATTCTCCCTTTATCTTCACTGAGCCTCCCCTAAGCACACACTTAAGCTGCAGGCTGTGGACTTCTCACAGCCACCATCATCCATCCACTCTCTGAACACTGACCCACATTGTCCCAAATGGGGCTAGGAAGATCTGTTTTGAAAAGAGCACTTATTCCTCCTGAGCCACCGAGTCTTCTCCCCAGCATTGAGAATCTAACCAAAAGCTTCCAGTATAATTCAAAGAGTGGTGACAGGGAGCAGACATCTCCATGACTATTTTAAAATCAGTTGCAAAAGAAGCAAAGAAATCTACTGCAGGCTTTTCTAGTTGCTTCCAAAAAGAGCAAATATGACCAGAAATACTTACTCAGCCTGCCTCAGTACTCAGGGAACAAAAGTTCTTCTGACTTCAGTGACTGCTAGCTACAAGTGGAAGACCTAATGACTTGGTCTTTAAACCTGGAAGATGACTGTGGAATAACCTACAATAAGGGTTGAAGGAATCTCACAGTTATAAGCTTGGCCTTTTTAAGCATAAACTCCAACCAGAAACATTTTTGAGAAAAGCACTGAGAGATCCAAGATAAAGCTACAGACACATGAAGGGGCAAAAGATCTCACAGGTTACAAAATGCAAGTTATTCAGAATTGATTCATATCTAACACTACGTTGACTTCTGGTGTAGCCTTTCCTTTCTGCAAAGGAGATGTATTTTAATACAATCCTTGGTTATATGAGGCAGGCACCATTACTATTCCTTTTCTAATTTTCTCTGTTTCAGCTCCATGAGTAAATGAGTGACAGTGTGTGAGTCTGTACACAGGTACCGGGACACAGATGCATGGGGGAGCAGTTAAAAAAGCGTAAAATAGTTTTTATTTTTAATGTATCAAGCGACTGGAAACAGCTTTCTACATAGTTGAAAAATTCAAAATTGATTGGGACAGATTCAAGCAGAGACTAAAAGCAAGCTTCAAGTTCCAGCAACCTTTTCCTTAGACCACAGTCCTGCTCCCACATTGCATGTGTCAGAACCTTCAGCACAAACTCTGCAACTCCCAACTTTCCACTGATCACTTATGCCCCAATGTTTACCATCATTTACCTTCCAAAAAGAGGTGATTTTTGCTGTCTGGAGGCCTGGGAGTTGGGACTGTGGCACTGATTTGTTTGTTCTAGGCAGGTTATGCCACACCTTACCTCAGTTTACTACCATATAAAATGCAGATACCAGTCTTACTATTATATTTCCTGTAGTAAATAAAGGCTTACTTCTCTTCAGGGTTCCCCCATAGCCTATAGGCAGAGACAGGTAATTTGTCTGGTCTTTTGAAAGCAACAGGATGCTCTTCTTGAGCTTGGGGTCCCTCCTGATCATCTCTTGATGCCTCTTCCATCTCTGGCTTTCTCTCCTTGAAGTAGCTCTCCAGATGGAGAGTTCCTTTGACCATGTGATCAAGAAAATTCAAAATCGATATGCAGTTCTTTAGCCACACTGGGAAAGGTTCTGAAGAGTAGAAAGCTGCATCCAAGAATTCTGAAAATGTCCTTGTCTTCTCAAGGCTCAGAGGGATTTGGCATTCCCCTTGTGTCCAGAAGCATCCAAGTAAGCCAAGATCCTCTGCCATCTTTTCAAAAAGACCATTCCTCTGGAAGAAATTGCTGTTGACAGGGTCCAGGTTCAGGGCTGCTGTTATCCCCTGAAGTGTGTAGAAAACAAGCTCCAATACACAATTGTGACCAACTGCTGCCCACAGCCCAGATGGAGGGTCCTGCAATGCACCTTCCATGTCTGAGAGAAGGGACAGGAGTCCATTGAATCCACTGCAAGTTCTGAAAGCTGAATGGCTCTTGGGACTCTCCAGTATCCTCAGGAGTGACTACAAACATTGGGAAGAAAGGAGACAAAAGAAGCACTTCAATCTAGGGACAAAACAGCTTTAGAATATTTTAAAATTCCAAGATTTTACCAAAATTCCTTCACTGAAATTTCACTCTTTGAAGAAAAAAACAGTTGGTCAAAGTAAAGGTCACCACTGCACAACTTTTCTCCTCCTCCTTTTCCCCATATACCCAATGAATCAAACAATCAAGATTTAAATTCACCTTCAGGAGCAGCCCATGAAGTTAGCCTGACAGATAGGGAATGGTGATCACAGGAATAAGCAAAGAAATAAAATTTCCTGCATTACATATCCTAGTCAGTTTGGCCAGAGGTAGTTTCAGACTTTTGGCTATTCTTTCATCAGTCTTTTCAGACTCTCTCAAGAAATCTGCCTTTGCCTTAAGTAAATAAAAGCAGAGATTCAGTTGCAAATAACTTCATACAGAAACAGAGAAGAAGGTGCAGCTCTCTATAGGCAAATCTTCCTGCACCCTGAATACTCATGAGAGGAGTCCACGCTAGACTTATGCTCATATGACTGAGCAGACCCTTTCCAAAAGCAGCAATACAGGATGACCCAAAGAATATTGCAAGCAGCAGGCTCTCCTCAATAGTAGAGGTATTTTTCAAGTTTGCACAACACTTTGGAAGAAGAAAAAAGCCATAAAGAGTCAGATCCCAAGATAACAGTCATTAGATTTTTCTCTAACTTCAATGGGCTTAAAGCACGTTATAAGTGAATGCCGCTTGACAATATTACACGTGCATAAAAATCAACCTGTACCACTTGTAAATTTTGAATGCTACAGGCTTGCCATTAAAAAAAAAAAAATCTAGAAAAGTTATTAAGAGTTGTAGAGGTGAAAGTAAAATTAGTGAGAAAAAAAGAACTTGCAATGAAACAGTCTGCTGTATTTGAATGTAATCCATGCCAGGCTTTTGGGATGTTGCACGATTAATTTTGTAAATATGATGCTCTTTCAGGCACCAGGAACCTTTCAAATTTGAGACTGTACCTTTTCACTTTGGAAAGGACTAGTTTTACATATAAAGCTTCCCAACAGATACCCAATGAAAGAAGTTCACTTCACAACCAGCTGTCTAACATAAATATATCTCCCTATAACAGGATCTAGGACTGCGAGAAAGGGTTGCCAGAACTGGAAGGGGAGGGGGAACTCTATTACTGTCATTCAGTTTTGTATGATAATGTATCAAACCAGGCAGAGACTTCTGAACAGGGGGTAAATTTAATAACTCAGAGTTGAAGTTATCAGGATGGCTTTATCACATTTCAGAGAAGGTCAACAGTAACCACATTTCTTCCAGCTCTAACTCAGTTAGAATTTAATCGCCTATGAGTTAGTATTCCTGTCTTGAATCTATAAAACTGATGTCTGCTGGAAACCCCCTAACTCAGTTAACGTTAACAGAATTTATTTCACATTCCATTATTTGTTATTCCTCTTAATTGCCCACGTGCCACACTGGAATATGACAGTTCTAATTGCATTTGGGCTCAGGCTTTAACAGCTAAATATATATTAGCAAATCAATCTGAATTTGTGTGTAACACAATCACAGTCCCAATGGATGTAGATAATAAATTCATTTGCTTACATTATACTTAAATACAGTTATCATTTGTCAAAATTAGACACTGAAACTGCATTTATTTTCATATTAGTTTGGACACCATACTCAACTTTTCCACAAATATTGTTAAAGTTTACTGTTCAAATCAAAGCTATAAACTTTGACATATTTTTTTTTTTAAAGTAGCGTGGTTCTTTTATCACAGAAGCAGCTGCTATATTGTGCTGAAAGGTGAATTCAGTTCGCACTTGGTAGAGAGGGTAGAATGAAACTTTAAATCAACACTACTGCTCTTCAGTTTGATGCCTATGATCTAAACCAAAATAAAGCACAATGATTCTTTCCCCTGCTTCATTGCTTATGGATCAGACCCTCTATAAACACAATAAAGGCTATGAATAGTTCTAATTTCTTCCTCCAAACATTCATAAGACTCCTCCTTTCCATCATCTCACATCTCTTTTTTTCATGACACTGATGTATGCGAAAGATGACAAAATTAAGGACAGCAAAGTTTCAACCTTGGAAACTTATCAGAATCAAGCTGTTCATCTCATGCTTACCCTACCCATTCCAATCTTACTCACCTACCTCTTCTCACATCCTCTCTCCACATCTTCTCCACTCTCATGCACATTGCTTTCACCTTACTCTGTCACATTACATAGAACTGTGTCCTTGGCCATTTCAATTTTTCCATCCTGCATTACTATTTAAGTCTTCAAAATATTCACAATCTGATACTGAGTGAAGGTGTTGACCACACACACATTGCTAAAAATCAAAGCACCCAGTTTACCAGAATCAAAAACTGATCCACGGCTTTTCTTCTGCACTTACCTTAATGGAAAAAACACAGTGCTAGGGGTGAGATTAAGAGCAATTTGCCACAGGCCAAGCAGTTTCCAAGAAACGATAGCCAAGTGGGAGGCCACATTAATTACCTTCAGCAGATCCAGTTTCAGATGTAGTTCCCCTTGTGTAGAAGAACAGAGGGCCCCAATAATAATGCTCATATACTCCTCATAGTTGATGACTGAGAGCTGCTCCAAGATACTGAGAGTAGCACTCCTGTAGCACTCATCATCCAAAAATATCTTTATATATGGCACCATTCCATAGTCCTTCAGAACAACTGGGGACAAATACAGTATCATTTGTTACTTAAACTTTCCTTTACTTTTAGTTTTCACAGGCAGATTTTTAGTGTTGGCGTGAAGTGCCACATTTCTACAAATACAGCAAAAGTAAGAAGAGCTGGTTAAGCTAAAGACAACACAAACTAAATGGCACAAGAACAACTAGGGATAAAATGACTGGATGGCCATGGTTTCTAATGATCAGAGATGACAGGTTCCCAATACAATAAGGAATGAAAAGGAAAAGATGTCTCACTAGTTTTCAGCTTAAACATCTCCTTAGTTTATGAAGGGGACTGTTTGATAGTTTGTGACAATATATTTGCACAGTGCAAGATGCTCCAAATAAATGATGATTCTAGGATGTGAGAATGAATTGAGTGGATTCCAGTATTCAGAAGAGTTCACTTCTGCATTACTACGTTCCACAACATGTCCCTTTTAGGTATGCCAGTACTAAACATGAGTGTTACTGAGCATGTGCATGATCCTATCGAGATTTCAAATAATATATACCATGGAAGAAAATCTGGATGAACAAAGAATACACAAAACCCACACACTCCACACCATAAGTTTGTTTTCATAGAATCATAGAATCATAGA